CTTCCAGAAAACTTAGGCAGCATGAGATCTTTGAAAGAGCTTCTAGTTGATGAGACTGCAATAGAAAGCCTACCGGAATCTATCTTCCACCTGACCGAACTCGAGAAGCTTATCTTAAACCGTTGCAGCCAATTAAAGAGACTACCCCATTGCATAGGAAAGCTCTGTTCTCTGAAAGAACTCTCTCTTAATGCATCTGGATTAGAAGAATTGCCAGACTCCATTGGATCTCTGGAAAACCTTCAGAAGCTAAGTGTCATGTGGTGTGCCTCATTGTCTGTACTTCCTGATTCCATTGGCAATCTCAAGTTGTTGACAGAGTTTTCTGTTTTGGCAAGTCCAATAAAAGAACTCCCTCTTTGTATCGGTTTCTTACCGAATTTGAAGGATTTATCGCTGGGGAAAGGCAAATTCCCCACAGAATTGCCTCCTTCAATGGGAAGATTAGATTCTCTTGTGATGCTTCAGATAGATGAGACATCAATCACTGATCTGCCTGATCAGATTGGAGAACTGAAATCACTGAAGAAGCTTCAGATGTGGAAATGTGGATCTCTTAGATCGTTGCCCGAGTCAATTGGCAGCTTAGTGTCTCTTACTACTTTGGTAATTCATGAAGCTAAAATCAAGGAGCTTCCAGAATCATTTGGTATGTTAGAGAACCTAATAGTGCTGAGACTCAACTTTTGTAGAGAGCTACATAAGCTTCCAGCTTCAATAGGAAAATTAAAGTCCTTGCACCGCCTGCTGATGGCGGATACTGCAGTGACAGAATTACCCGAAAGCTTTGGTATGCTCTCAAGTTTAATGGTATTGAACATTTCGAAGAATCCTCAAGTGCTAGATAGCAATGAAACTAGAACACCTGTGGTTCACAGTTCACAAAAATGTTCTTTTTTTCCGACTTCTTTCTCGAATCTATCCTCACTGAGTGAATTGGATGCTCGCACCAGGGGAATATCTGGTAAAATTCCTGATGATTTTGAGAAGTTGGCATCTCTAGAGCTTCTAAAACTTGGCAACAACAATTTCTGCAGCCTCCCATCCAGCTTAAGGGGCATGTCAATTCTTAAAGAACTTCTTCTGCCTCATTGTAGAGAGCTAAAGTCCCTTCCTCCACTTCCCTCGAGTTTGGTTAAG